GAAATATACTTCTAAAAAAATACTTGATGTAATCAGTGTCAGGATTGACATACCTTAATGATTGATTGATTGATTGTATATTATAGTGCGTCCTGTTCGAGAATTTTTCATTCATATAGTGATGTCACCATATACCGGTGAAAGACTTCAAATTTAGACTTTTACTCGGCACTCATGATCAGGGCTATTGAGCAGTGAGGGTTCTTTATCGTGCCAATTCCTACCGTGACATGTGGTCTCGTTTTGAGGTCTCATCCGAAACACCCGCAACTTTCACTTCAACGTGCCGAGCGCTTGGCGAACAGTTGCTTCCTATTTTTTATCGACTTAGGTCAGTCGCGGCCTTGATTCGAAAACACGACCTTACGATCACGGAGCGACCGCTCTACTGATTGAGCTACCGTGACGGTTCATACCTTACTGAACAAATTAAAAAAAAGAGACATTTCACAAAAACAATTTATTTTCCTTGTTTATTTTCAACCACGAAAAAAACATTTTTTTTTTTTTGGATGGTATTAACTAGTTTGAACAATCACTGTTCGTTATCGTCTCCCTTACCAGATTTTAGAAAAGATTTAACATTTCAGAACGATTGCTCAATTTCTCAGTCATCATCAGTCATTATATGATGATTACTATTATTTGGCTTTCTTGGTCTTTTTTGTTCATACAGTACCTTTTTTTCTGTGTAGTCTTTTCTTCACTTAACTATGACTTATAGTTTGCCAAGAGAATAATAATAGTATCAAGGGTTGTATACTTTATCCTTAACAATATATTCTGCTGCCACAGAGTATATATCAAATTAACATTTTAATAAACAACTTACACGTCTTTTCATTCATGGAAAATAGAACCAAACATATTTGTTGAATAAAATCATTGATTTAAAGATGAGATTGACACGTGATCACTTATTCATTTGATTACGTCAAATTCTCATAGGCATTGTTAATATATGTACAAAATAGGAATAAAATTATTAGACACTATGTCATTCTTAAATGAATTGTCGTGCTTTAAAGTGACAGTACGGCGCATCTCATCAAAAAACTGACTAGATAAAATTTTCCGACAAGATTTGGAATTTTTTTACTACTCATAAATGTATAAACTTTCAGAAAATTACAACTTTTACAATTTAATAATTGTGATTATTTCATTAAAATTAATAGTTATTTATGGGACGTAAATATATACATCGCAACGTGTTCGGGGTTTCACATTCCAAGCTATGCACGCATGCGTAGTTTTCATAAACAAAACAGCATGGTTAGAGAGGGAATCCCGGTAGGCCTGCTACATTGACAAAGTCGACCAAAAAGAAAAAGAAACTGAAAATAGAACTTGAAAAAGCAACTTTTATGACTAAAATTTAGCTTGGGGATTAATAAAATCGCTGGATAAGGAAGAAACGGGAACTCGGCGACACTCACGCAGGGCTCTCGAAGGTTCTATTCGACAGGTTTGTTGATACTTGTTATCATTTCTCATTTTTCCGTCGCTTTCAAAGAAAAAATAGTGTAAACTCGACATTAAAAATACATCTTTGACTTCTAAACATTGTTGCCATTTGAAATGCTAATTTATTTTAACTGTGCAGAAAAATATTTTGTTTGACATTTGCCACGATAACGTATGATTAGTTGGTTTTCCCTTTCTCGGACCCCAATACACAAAACGTAAACATTTGTACTTTTAATTCTGTTAAATTCGCCTGAATGCAGACTAAAATCTTTACGATTATTATTTTAGATTATTTTATCAGAAAGTTATGATAATTTGTGTTTTTGAAAATTGCTTTCACCTAATATTCATTATAACTGTAAACTCTACAGTGTAGGAACGTGCCGTTTTAGAATTCACGTGGTACAAATAAACAGATCTAAGATTGCTCCAGTTCGTACGACCCTTGATTTTCCGGCAGATTCTAATTACGTTAATTTTGTTTGAGTAGAGAATATTTCTGTTTCTCAAACTGCTTACATCAACTTTATACCTTATTTCTTAATGACATATTGGGTAAATTTGGATGAAATAGCACACATTTTGCAGCCGTACTGTCGCTTTAACATATACCCGGTAAACAATTTTTTTTCCCAAAATCAACAACACAAAAACTCACACCTTTTCAACTTTATATACAACCAATCCCCACGATAGTCCAGGCTTTTTTTTTTATATCAGTGACAGCTGCTTTTCAATAAAAATGGAACTAGTAAACTTCCTTACCGTCATTTGCAAATTTTTTTGGTTAAAAAACACTCTGATTGTACACACAAGTACTCTGAAGTTGACATAAAAAAGATGCACGAGTTTCTGATTGACAATATATATGTGGTTTTTGCAGACCAGGTCTTCCAACGATCTATTGGAGTTCCCATGGGTACCAATTGCACCCCTTTATTAGCAGACCTATTTCTGTATTACTATGAAGCAGATATTGTTCAAAATCTCATACGTGAAAAGAAGAAAACACTTGCTGTGGCCTTCAACTCGACATTTAGATATATTGACGACGTATTGTCAATTAACAATAGTTATTTCCATTCATATGTCGACACGATATATCCCGGTGAGCTTGAATTAAAAGATACCACAGAGTCTGATACATCTGTTTCATATTTGGATATTTTACTAGAAAAAGACTAATGGTAATCTAAAAACAAAGCTTTATGATAAACGTGATGACTTTAACTTTTCAATCGTCAACTCCCATTACTTATGCAGCAATACACATTCATCACCTGCATACGGGGCCGGGTGTATATCTCTCAGTTGATTCGATACGCAAGAGCATGCTCTACGTATGAAAAATTTCTAAAACGAGGTAATTTATTTAAAATTTGTATTGTTTAATGGACTTTTGAGCTTGAATACTATTCGTTATCTCCACCTGAAATCTGTAAATTGAAGTTCTTATGTTAATGTCATATATATATCCAAACTTGAAAAAAAAATCTCAGTAATCGGATTACAATATTAAAACTTTTTAATACTGCTTGTGATTTATATAACATTTTTAAATTTTAAATTGGTATGTCAGTTATTGTTTTTCACGTTGAAAATTCTTTTCTGACAGAATTGTCATAAAAATTTTTAAGTTATTGTTTTTTGGAATCACTATATTTTTCTTTCTAACCCCTGACATTGTATAACATTTTTTCAGCATCAGCCATGACCACAACTTGGTCAAACAAAAGTTGCTACAGTATACATTTAAAGCTCAATGCTTTGAATATTATTAGGAATGTCTTAATTTCCTGTCGATAGTTTTAGGAATCTCTCAAGCCCACAGTGTAGCAATGTGAATGTGATGGGACTTTTAATAGTACACAGAGACGTTAGCGTAGTTATGAACATCGATCTTACAATACACCTATAAATCTATTAAACAAGATGTAAATAAACAGATTGGCCTTCATCACATTCGCACCAAACTTTACTCTGACCTTCGAATAGTCTATGAAAGATCATATTTGGATTCTTCGACACCAGAATACAGGCTCAGATCTGTGAAAATGGATAGTGCAAATCATAGGCTCTTTAAACCACCACGTTTTGCGGAAGAATATACCGCTCAAACAACCCGTTTGTTCCTTAAACTTCAATACACCAACAAAGGAATTGACGCAGTTAATATAGGTAATATTCTTAATCACAAAAAGGTCCAGTCTTGTTTTCCACCATATTTCATGTCCACATCTTTTATTTCTTGCGAATATGCATCGACAAATATAACTTTTGAAATAATTTTCATAACGAAATAAAAATTTTCATCATATGTTTAAATTAGAATACTTGACAAACCAGTCAATTTTTAAGTACATATGTTTGATAAAACTCAAGATATTAAAAATCAAAATTTTGATTTAAGTCTGTTCTCAGTTTATGGTCTCAAGGCCAGGTCGTTCAACAATCTGTTGGAATTCCCATGGGTACCAATTGTGTCCCCTTGTTAGAAGACCTATTTTGTATTCATATGAAGCAGAATTGATTGAAAGACTTCTGCACGAGAAGAAGAAAACACTTGCTGTGGTCTTCAACTTGACATTTAGATATATCGACGACATATTATCAATTAACAATAGTTACTTCCATTCATATGTCGACTCGATATATCCCGGTGAGTTTGAAATAAAAGATACCACAGAGTCTGACACATCTGTTTCATATTTGGATATTTTACTAGAAAAAAGACTTTAATGGTAACCTAACAACATAGCTTTATGATAAACGTGATGACTTCAGTTCTTCAATCCTCAACTTCTCTTACTGATGTAGGAATATACCCTAATCACATCATATGGTGTTTTTGTTTCCGGGTTTATTCGCTATTCGCAAATGCATGTTCTACTTACGAGCAATTTCTTAAACGAGTCAAACTATTGACAAACAAGTTGCTGTAACAAGGATATCAACAGTCTTGTTTGTAGTCTTCATTTCGCAAGTTTCATGGTCGATACAATGACCTTGTCAGCAAATACAATTTATCATTAAGTCAAATGCTGAGTGATGTTCTTCATACTAATTACAAGGGCATTATTTACAAACTGAACAAGGAGCACACGGCGAGTGTGACCGGTCAGCAGGGGATGGTCACTTCTCCATGGCACCTGTTCCATCTCTGTCTTTGGAGTTCCGTGTTTGCTCTGCTCCCGATTTGTATTGTCTTAATGGACTTTGAGCTTGAATACTGTTCGTTATCTCCATATTATATATACTTCAACTAGTATTATTTTTTCACGGATCTTCAAAAATACAGAATTTTCAAAAATGCACAAAAAGCTGTTTCACTTCTGACATTTTTAGCACCATTATTGAGCATAACATTTTTGTGTCTTGAGATATAAATCTTGCCAGGCATTTAGACAATATCAAAGGACATATGCTAAGACATAGAAGTTTATTACCATTGCCTGTATTTTTAGTGCAGGCCAATAAATATATGTCAGGTCATTTTTTTTTAATCCAACCTATATTGAACAGAATTCTAGTTGTTATACATAAATTATTTTATTAACAAAATGTACCAAAGCCAATGTGAAAACATCCATCCATTTTTAATAGTAGTCCTGAAAAGAAAAGAAAAACTTTTGTTCAAATTTGAAAAATGATAAAGGAAAGTTGAAAATAATTTTCCATAATATAGACATTTTCCAAATTATAATACAAAATTACCTTTCCATAACCTCCATAGCCTCCGTATCCTCCATATCCTCCTTTTCCTCCCCAACCTCCAAATCCTCCAATTCCACCCCATCCTCCTCCAAATCCTTTTCCCCCATATCCGCCATATCCTCCATATCCACCATATCCTCCATATCCTCCATATCCACCATATCCTCCATATCCACCATATCCTCCATATCCACCATATCCTCCATATCCACCATATCCTATGCTTCCAATGCCTCCATATCCTCCATATCCTTTACCACCAAGGATAACAACTCCTCCACCGTATCCGCTCGCATCACTAAGGGCTACAAAGAGCAGGACTAGGAAGCACAGCAGCTTAAACATTCTGTGAAAAGAAAAAAATATTTAATTTTAATTGGAAAAAAATACAAATCCATGGTATTAGAGAGAAAAAAATAAAAAAATAAAAATTTCTTGTCCAGGGATCAGAGTCACCTTTAGCTTGGAAATTGAAAGTGATCTGAATAAATAAAAAAATAAATATACATTTCTTCTTTAGGGATCAGAGTCAACTTCAGCTTGGAAATTGAAAGTGATCTAAAGTTCTTTTCCGAAAGTGGACGATAGTATTGTTTACAAACATACACAAAAACGTTTCAACAGTTGAGAATACTTTCAGAATTTTCAACTTTTTGAATTTTCATTTTTAATGTACAATTGTGAAAAAGAGGCAAAGATGTTAAATGCATGTAAATTTTCTTTGTGAAAGTACGGAAATTCCAGAATGTTCTATATAATGATTGTGTTCAAACTTTAATCAACTTTAATTGCACAAATAACAAATGTCACTGATTTATTATTATTATTATTTTTTTTACAAAGTTTGATAATGAAATCATTTTCGATATGCTTACAAACTTTGGAATTTCCTAAAACTCTGCAAGTTTAACTACATATATTTACTGATTTCTATATTTGCCAAATAATCTTCTTCATGCTACCAAATTATAATTTTGTCCGTCATAATTGGAGAAATATTATCCTTACATCAAAGTAATGATTCGAGAAAAGTTCTTACCTTGGTTGATATTAAGGGCTTCAGTAAAGGTTGTGAGGAAAACTGATGAAACTCTCCTATTTATATCATACTGCAAAAACCTTTAAATGGTACATCTACATCTGAAATAGTCAAGCAAGAAATTTATCAAGAAAATTAATTGTACAGATACCTTTTGGTTGATAGTTCAATGATATTTCCGTCTCTTGGTTTATAAATGATGGTTAATACCAAAGTCCGCATTATTCAACTGAATTCATCTGAATATATATCCGGTTATGCCCTACTGCTGTCAGCTATAAAATATTAATGAACACTTTAAGAAAATTAAAGATACCACAACAAATGATTCTTTACTAGTTTTTTTTTTTTTTACTTCAACTTTAATTCAATTGCAACAAAATTTTTGCTTGTATCATTTATTAGTTAGACAAACAAATTTACACAATGTCACTATGGAACTCTTTCTCGATTACTTAATTATTGTTGTTGTTATTATTATTATTATTATTATTATTATTATTATTATTATTATTATTATTATTATTATTATTATTAAAAGTAGATTTTTTTTTCTGTGTCATCCATTTTGCCTCCATTTTACAATGACTAATCTTTTCCCCAGAGAATTAGTCACTGCATGAAATTTCAAGAGTTGCATACTTTATTTTAATCAAGATATTTTTTTCCCCAGGAATCCTTTATTAATAAAACTTTCAATGAACTATTGCATGTTGTCACCTCTCTCAGAAAATATCAACCGAAAGTATTCGTAGAATTAAAGGGATAAAAAAGACTTAGTCTCTGTCACATGACTTACATTGAATGCGTCAAAGGATCATTTAATATCGTAGTAAAACATTATTAGAAGTATCAAAACAAGAGTTAATTTTGTAGAAATCCAATCCTTGTACTTAAACATCTAATAAAAAAAAATTATTTTGTCTGGCTCGCAGGCCAATTTTTTACAAAACAGATGAGAGAGCGTTTTTTAAAAATATTATTTTATTGCCAATAAATTAAATGTGGGAGGTATTTTTTATACCCGAAAGATGTAAATACTGGTATAAAATATTTTGTTGTGAAAACTAGTTTCTAGCATTTCTGAGGAGCAAAGACAGAGTAACCAAAGACAGGTATTATCACCTTCATGAGAATAACATGACCAATCATGCGTAAATCTTTGAACTTCTGGTAGTAAACCCATTGAACAAAAGATAAATAAATGGAAAATATTATAGTGTAAAACTTGTACCTTGCCCAGTGTATATTTATTATTTGCATAAAATGCATTGCACCAACTTTCTTTTTCAACACGTTAGTATGGGGATGGCTTGTTTTGTTACGATTAGAATTCAGCGTCTTGTAAATTGTAATGCTTTTAATGTCTGATTAAAATGTATGCTTTATAGCCATTGCGTATCAACGTGTGATTGACTGATTATTTGCTGTTTTACATCCGTTCGCGAATTTTTCACTCATATAGAGACGTCACCATATACCGGTGAAGGGCTTCAAATTAAGACCTTTACTCGGCACTCAGGGCCATTGAGCAGACACGGGGCCTCGGTTTTTAAGGTCTCATCCGAAGGACCCGCAACTTTCACTTCAAAGTGCTGAGCGCCTGGCGAAGGACCAGTTGCTTTTTTCATCGACTTAGGTCAGTCGCGGCTGTGATTCGAACACACGACCCTCCGATCACGGAGAGCGCTCTAATCAACGTGTGAACATCGCAGGGATGCATGTTTTTAAACAGTGGCAAAATCTCTTCGAAAATGTCTTCCTGAAGAGAAATTCGAGTGCAAAACTACGAGAAAATGAAGGAGGATATTTTTCTCCGGATTGGTCTCCGCCTTACCAACTTTTAACTTTATCAAATATACGATAGAGTTTGCAATGCAGCTAATTCAAAACGGAACGCGCAGGTCTGAGAACTGTAATTTCAATTATATGTGGCCTTAAACAAATCAGTTACGTAAGAAAAAAAATATTCAAATAAAAAAGCGGTGGCTGTAAATCGTAGGATTTTAAATTGCATGGATCTGCAGGCAGCACTCTGGTTTGTCTGCCCGAATTTTTTCAATCAGAAAACTACAATTCTGAATTTATATTGATGTAGGTTATAAGCAGCAAACACAGTGGAGCATCATGTATACAAAGTGAATATTTTAATTTTATTTTTGATACGTATACATTTAGGTGCTAGACATTATATGCATTTATGTATTTCAGTTGCAAAGCTTTCGTGTAATGTCAAAGACCATTTTTTCCGTCCTCAAATGAAAAAAATGATAATGATGATGAAGATGATGATAATAATAATGATGATGATGATGATGAAGTGATGATGAAGTGATGATATTATGGTTATGCATGTCTATTCAATGTTGTCCTGTGCAATATTGAAATTAGTTTCCTCTTTCAATGTTGCTATAGTTAACGAATAAAAGTAAGGGCCAGGTGCATTGTCGAATTTTAAAAATATTGGAAAATAGATTCTTTTCCAATCTTAGTTTTTAATATTAAGACTATCTTGAAAAGTGCGTATTGATCCCATCCATAAACAGTCTGTAATAAGAAATATTCTTTGTTCACTTGATTTTATATTATTTTATATGTCTTGTAATTTTTCTCAGCTTAAGATCTTCTTCTTAAGTTTGTATATCAAGCATGAATATTAACGACGATTTACCTCTTCACCAGGCAAAGGTCAATTGAATAAATCAGATACTCAGGAACAGTCACAAATAAAGAAAAGGTAAATACACGTACATGTATAGCTTAAAAAATAGTTTGGAAAAATTGTAAGGCTTTTAACCTCAACGATAAATTCCACAACTATATTTAGTACAATTTTATGTAAAGATCACGGGTTCTTATTAAAGTTTCTTATAATCAAATAATATATTGATAAATAAACAAATCATATTAGCAATTTGGACTCATTTATTCTCTAAATCATATTTTAATTTGTATATACTTTAAAGTATTTGATAAGGTAGCAAAATTAAAACTACAGAACGAACTAATGTTTTAAAATGATATGGATAAAAACTGAAAAAAAATCTACTCGTTAGAATGTCTCAAGAAATATTACATGTAATATACACTTAAATGTCAGAGTTTCATTTTCATTTTATGAAAACATGTCATTAGATTGGAGAAAAAAAAACCTGTTGACCTTCTGAGGCTTCTGTACGTCAGAAATAAAAACAATGAATATTTCTTTTTTAACTGATATGGTCCTTTTATTAGGAAGTAGTAGCAAGTAAGGAATCTATTGCAGTTTCATTAAAATGCCGTCTTTTTGCATTTTATAGCATGCTGAATGCATGCTAAATTAAGTCAAATATTATACCTTTCTCTTTCCTAATGGGAAAGAAACATTGCTTTGATATCTTCCATCACATAAAGGTGTGTCATTATTCTAACGTAAGAAATAATCTCATATGATATGTTCATCGGGCAGTTAAGACTTTATAACCCTTATGTAGATTCGAGCTGTAGTCTGAAGACTTGAAGGTTATTTTTTAGGGGTAAGTATATGCACTTTAACAATGCAATATTTAAAAAATGTTTCAAGGACATAATTTTAAAAACCTTTCCAGGAATAATATTAATTTAAAGGTCAACAGGCTGAAATTTAGTGGGAAACCACGTCTCACTTTCATTAACAATAAATACAGGTGGCATGTATGTAACACGTATTTGGTATAGGTGAAATTAATATGCTTAAGTGCTACAAAGATATTCATTAACGTGGGGTTTTAAGCATGAGTTATTGATAGAAGAGTGTGTTAAAAATGAAGGTAATTTGGTCTTGTTTACACTGAGTGCGATTCCGAGGACATTATATTGAAAACCAAGGAATGCCACATTGAACACATCTAGCTTACACATTACTCTATATCCAAGATTTTGGAGAAACCTTTTTTTTTTAAAAAATTTTAAGTATGACGTATAATTTTTTCTATAAAAGACTATTATATAGTCTATGAATAGTCCTTAAGCTATACAGCAGTTCATAATATTACATATTCCCTGGGATTGAAGCTCACAATCAGTACCCCAGACAGTGTAAAAAAACAATGGTTGCAACGGCCGGTGTAGAATAATGACGGGAGGTCATTTTTGGACGTCGAAAAATGACGTCCTGTCATTATTCCGTGTCGAGAAATGACCCTTTTGCCTGTAAAAGAGTGGTATTACCCTTAAAATCAGCATATCCCACGTGAAGAAAAATGGCTCCCATAGAATAATCACCCCCTGTAGATATAGAGATATACATGTATTTTTCTTTTTGATTAAAAAGATTAAGAATTATAAATTTAAAGGCCAGTGGACCAAAATGCTCACCTGAGGTATACGTAAAATGAAGATACAGGGATGATTTGTTGGTCTCATTAAATCTTTCGAATAAAATGATCCGTCTTTTATGATAAATTATCAATCGACTTCAATCTACACTATGTGGAAATGCTTCCATTTTGATTTGACAAATGCATCATTAATTGTTGTTAAGAAGATTTAAAGAGAGAGAGAACTGTATATAATTTCTATCTATCTGTCTTTCACTACTTAACAATGTTCAATTGCAAATGAGTACAAGACTAATTAAGTGATATTTCCCCTTCTGCTGCTTTCTTGGCCTTAGGCGCTTCTTATCCTACTGACTTGCAGTTGTAATTAATCATGTACTCATTGGCAATTGAAAATTGTTAATTAGTGAAAGACATATCTGTTGATTAAGTTGCATTTGAATGTATGTATTTTTAAGTCGGTGATTTTAACAGTGTACATACATGAAATTTTTGGACATACACCAAAAGAATCTCACAATTTGAATAAGAGGAATTGTGTGATGTTTTAGCTACTTTTGGTACATTTTCATTCAAACCGAAAGAAAAGTATTACTTAATCATCCATATTTAGCAAATAAAAGTGGAGTCAATAAAACTTGATTGTGCAGATGTCCATATTTCGTCCCCAAAGTGCAATTAATCCATGTGCTTTATACATGTACCATCTTTAATTTTCATCCCTGCTCTACTTTATCGGAAAATTGATAAATTA